TTTTCATTTCTAAGGTAATCAATGTTTACTTCTGGACAGGCAACATTTTTGATTGCAGTTCTAAATGTGCAGTCCTACACATTTATCTTCAATTGGTTTCTCTGACCTTTTCCCTGCTTCATATAAAAGACATATGCTTAATAGTCTTAAAAGCAATTATAATTCGGTTAGGGGGGAAGGGTGAAGGAGGGTGAGTGGAGACTTCAAACTGCCCAGCTGGCAATGATTTGTGGAGACAGCACTTCAAAGTTGCCTAGTTTCTCAGACAATTCTAACCTTTCCCCCTTTACCAAGTCTCTCATCCAGTGCCTGGCACCCCTCTAACTCCCCCTTTTATCCTCTGCATCAGCTCCTGAGGTTCCCATGAAGCACTGACTTGATTATTATCAGGCAGTGGGAAAACTACTAATACCACTGGTCAAATAAAGCTATGTGGGTCATGCAACCTCTAAAGCGGTATGTGGCGGTAAGATTAACATGCCTTCTGTTAACATGACAAAGCCCTCAATGATTTATCCCAGTGTTTCAGACCAAATGGAGAGCTTTCTCACATTACCAAACTTCTCAATACATACACATCACAGTACAAATCCGCAAACATAATGACTAAGTTAAAGCACTATACTTCAAATGTTTGCATGTGTAGCTGCACCTTCATTGTCTCTAAGAAATTCAGTCTTTATCTCAGACATAAGCACATATCAAGCTAAAAGAATAAATAGATAAAATGGTCAGTCAAATTTAATTTAAGAACTAATTACTAATTAATTAAAATGCATGACTGAAACAAAAAAGTAGACTGAAACTTCATATAGTATTATACGCACTTCCGACAAATTGGATTAAACTGCTGCTTACCTGGTTTTCAATAGCCTTTCTATTTTTGGAGTCACCAACAATGGACAACTGCAGCTCTGCCATTTTCCTCATCTTGCTGTCCATGTCGATCTTCTGGAGAAGACCACGGATCTGTCCACGTAACAAATGCAGTGTGTCCTCCTTCCTGTAGCGTTTCGCAAATAAAGATGCGCTAGCCGAATGAATGGCAGTTACCCAGTTCTCTAGGTCAGTCTGGTTGGAGGCCTAGAGTGGAAAATAACATACAGGGAAGGAAATGTGATCTTTTATACATAAAAGTTACTGTAAATATGGTCATTGTCAAAAAAAAAAAAATCTATTTGATCAGTAATGTAGAAATCACTTCATTTTATATAACGTTACTTTGTCTTATATTTTTCACAATTCTGAAAATGTATGTATTTCCATGTTTAGATTACATCATGAAGCCTAGATTTTCAATGTCTCAAACTTTTGGACCCCACTTTAAATTTGTCTACAAAACAGATTTCAAGCATTTAAAGTGATAATTCACATAAAAATGAAAATTCTGTCATAATTTACTCACTCTCAAGTGGTTCCAAACCAGCATGACTTTCTTTCTTCTGCTGATCACAAGACAAGATATTTTGAAGAATGTGAGTTGTGAACCAAACAGTTGCGGTTCCCATAGACTTCTATAGTATGGGAAAAAAAATACTATGGAAGTCAATGGGGCAACCAGCAACAGTTTGGTTACCCACATCCTTCAATATATCTTCTTTTGTTTTTGGCAGAAGAAATTAATATAGGTTTGGAACAACCTGAGAGTGAGTAAATGATGACAGAATTTTCATTTTTGGGTGAACTATCCATTTATGTTTATGTTTGATATCATAAGGTTGTTAATATCACCATAAACATTATTGACAAGTAATGTGTGTGCAGTGTTTTTTATTTAATAATAAATTATGTTTAAAGTTTAAACACTGTACTGTTTCCGCTCCGTATATGTGCAGCTTCTGTGCGGCTTCCACTCTGCTTATGCTTTCAGCGTGAAGTGGCCATTAATTTTATAGCTCAGGCTTTTAACTGACCTGAAAAAGGTAGACATCACCATAGGCATTACTGAGGCAGAATACGTTCTCTTTCTTGGGGTGCTCAGGAACTGCCTGGACTACACCATCCTCTGCTAACAAGGCATAGCATGGAGACTCTGGCTCTGAAGAGGCTTTTCCATAGGTCTCATAGAACAGCATTGTGCAGCCTACAAGAAAAAAAAAACATAATCTGGTAATCTCTGGTCACTTTAAGCAGTCATGGTGTGTCCTTACTGCACAAAGGTGAGTGGCACTGTAAATCACAGTGGTCGTTATAGCAATCATGGCATACTTACCCTTTAGAGTGACCCAGAATTGTTTCCATTTTCGACGGCCCACTAGCTCTAATTTGCGGTCCTTGTGTACAGTAAGCAAGGGCTTGAAGGATAGCCATCCGGCCCACCTAACTACACCCTTTTCTTTCTCAAAAAGCAAGTCCAGCTGCTCTAGACACCCGAGGATTTCTTGACTACTGCTCTCTGCTTCCTCTGAGGAGCTCTCGCGCCAATCTTCTCGTCCACATTCTGCTGGAGGCCGACTAGTCTTCAGCTCCCTCATGAAGTTCTTGTAGATGTTTTGCCGCAAAACATCGGTACCCAAATGAAGGGCACCAGCAGAGCCGCTGCGGGTATTCAGTGACAGAGAGTGAGAGTGGGTTTGAGGCATGCCATTTGGAACCGTCAGAAAGCTGGAGACCTGAGAGGGAGAACTGGTATCGGCAGTGAGGCCATCCACACCACTATCAAAGCAATCGACGGGCTCAGTATATCTCGACTCCTACAACAACAGCAAAGGAGAAATATTGTAAGGCTGAGGTTACATTTATGCTGAAATGTGTTTATTTGTAATCATCAAAATATAATTTTTTAAAGCCACTACTCATTCATTTTTGCAAACTGGGTTATTTCAATCCAATTCCTCATTCACCCTGGAATACATAGTATGCTCTTTAAAGGAGTGTCATTTGAAAAATCTCAGTAAGAGCATCGATTCCCTTCTGCTCGTAGTGAGGAGCACACTTCAAAAGAAATCTGAGTAGGAGGGTCCTTCTCATGCATCTTTCTTCAAAGTCTACACATCTCCAGCAGCTGACACCAATTACACAAGGGTTCAGATGTGCCAACAACACTCTGTGTAAAACTACAACTGATGTCTGGCATTCAGTGGAGATTTGAATGTAAACTTCAATATTTCTCAACAATAATTGCAAAAGTTGAAGTAACAAGTTGACATGGCCACATGATTATGCATATCCATGTTGAAGCCATCCAGTGATCCAGGAAGCTATCATATTACCAGGGTTCTATCAGTCGGTCTGTGTATATCAGAATTCTACCAAAAGGTCTTTGTGGCTGTCAAATTGTAAAAAATGATTAAGAGTGTTTCTTGGGCTGAAGCATTTAGACTGGTTCATAATAATACATTTTAGATGGTTTCACAGTTATGATTATGATTAACCTGATATCAGCACAAAATTATCATAAATTGTGATCTGATTTTCACTGAAGTCATAAATGTGTGTGAAAGATGTGACCAGTGGGAAAAAGAAAAAAAGGCAGTTGGTCTCAGCACAACTTTCAGGGATTTTATTTCCAAACGTCAAAACTACAAAACAAAGCAACTCAAAAGAAAAAAAGAAACAAAAAAAGAAAAAATATATACAATAAAGATAAGTCACTACATTTGCCTCTCAAACTTACAGAGATCTAGGGACTGCAGGACCTGTTCAACCTTAGAACCCCACTAACAACTATACACACACAGTTAGGTTTTATAATTTGGTGACCAGCACCAATTAACAAGACATTCAAATAGACAAAAACAAAAATAAACTTCAAACCTTGCCCAAGTTACATTAATTTATAATTGGATTTTCTATAAATATATATATACTGTATCTATATAAAGGAAATAATTTAATTCTTGGAATTCCCCACCTCACACAGAGAGTAAAAAGTAGTGCATTCTTTGTTAAAGACTTTATTATTATGCCTTAAATGAAAATCTGATCACTGGGTTCATGCAAACATTCACAGTTACAGTCATAGGTGATAAAGGGGGTGTTCTGGATCTCAGCCATCTACAATTAAAAACCGCATTATAATTTATTACAAAGTTGGTATGAAATTCATTAGCGAAAGCAACTACTCCATGTCTACATACTGTAAATGTCTACATGATTAAAACAATACAAAGTGACTCAAATTACTTTAAAAGCACATTTCATGGCATCCTCTGTTTTACAAAAAAAGACTGTTTAAAATGTCTTTAGTTTAAAAAAGAAGTCACTGCTTTCTTCTAATGTGAGCAGAAGAAAACACAGCCGCTTTAAATGACTGATTAAAGAACTAGGCTGTATCATTGCTATTACTCGCTTTAGACTTGTAATATGATGAGTAATGCCGGTTTGCAAAACCTTCCACAGACACGGACTCCACAGAAAATATCAAAAAGCTATTCCACTCTTTTCCATTAAATGCAGCATAAAAGCCAAACAACAGGAATGTCTCACTGCTGATGGTTTAAAAAATTCACACACGAAATCACAAAAATATAATAAAGAAGACTTCAAAAGACACATTCACAATTAGCTACTAAAACTTATGTAAACAGAGAGCAGAAACAACTGATATACAGCCTCCACTTATTTTATAAGGTGAGATACTCAGCGTTGGTTTTCCTCCATTGCAATCTTTAATTAATCAACTCCTCATTTTCTTCAACACCACAGAATTTATCCCTTGCTTTCTTTTGGTACCCACCAAATGCCAAACACTGCATTTGCGAGGAACACAACATCCTGTCATCTTCAGAGCACTAAAAGTTTTTGCATTTTTCAGCTCCAATGTATCCTGATATTCTTTTGGTAGAGCCCCGTGGGTTCCTTGTCTCATTGAACTGGCATGATGTAGATTTCAATATTATGCCCTACATGTGCTCCTGGGCAAAGCAATAGTGCCCGCAGTGGCACCTGGCATAAGTAACAACAGTCAATAACCCAATGGACTGATGCTTGCACTCATCAGTCATGCTTGCACTGACTATAAGGCATGTGGCTAAAAATGACAAAAACAAACAAACTAGAATTTGTGAAAAAAAAGAAAAAGAAAATGTGAGTGGTGATATATAAGAAAATGTGTCTGCTAGTTGGTAGTACGGCTCAAGTCCAGCCTCAAGTTACATAGATATTTTCATTTCTAGACATTGGTCAGGTAACAGGATTTCTGAAATAGAAAATGGGGACATTAGCTAGTTCAGTGGTCAAAATACCAAAAGTCACTTGTTATTGTCTATGAACTATCAGCAACATTTAAAATTGTGTGTAAAACAATTCTGCATGGTGTTCAAGCCTTGTTATTTTGAACATACAAACAGTATTACTTTAAGATGAACAGTTAGTATGTGACTACCTTGAAACCAGTGACAGTGTCTCTCTTGATAAGTGATAATAATCCGTGTTATACTACGGGGCCGTTGAATGCTTGAATCTGATTGGCTGACGAACGTTCTGATGTGTGCAATTATTTTTAGGGAAACACACGGCGAACGTAGTTCCAGGCAGCTCTCTTGACCGCATTACAGTTCCATATCACTTCGCATAGTTAACTATAATAACGGAAATTAGCATACAGTACCTATACAGCACACAGGAATTACTGCAATCACACGTGCTCGCACACGCACACTACGGTCACGCAGTTTGCACAAAAAAGTGTTGTCAGCGCTGCCCTGACGATTTTATCAGTTAGCCTATATAGTGTAGCAACTTAAAGGCTACACATGACATTTCTCACTAGCGAGGTAATAACAGCGCTGTTTAGAGACGCTGCTGCAGAACACTGTTGAGGGACGCACAGAGGTAGCCTAATTCACACAAGCTCTCTCTCTTTCTTTCTCTTTCTCTGTGTGTCTCTGTCTCTCTCGCTCTCTTTCTAATAACTTCATTAATAACTGCATTAGAATGCTATCAACGGCTCAAGCCTCCATCACCAGCTTTAAAATTAAGTTTTGGAACTAGCAAAAGAGGCGTTGGATGAGATGCGGAAGAAATAAACTCCGCTTCGCGTCGTGGCCGCATCACCACATCGGGTGTGCATTATTTTTCTAATAATTCAACGGTCCGTCATCAGTTATTCCTTACTTAATTCGTATCTCGCCCTTAAAAGTTTTGTTGTTGGCTTGGCGAAAAGTGCAAGTCAGATTGCTTGTACTATGACACCTCTCTTCAACAATGTACACAATTTCAGGAATCATTCACATCCACAGCACAAATGGCAAAATCGGCTATTGTGAGTTCACAGGACCGTAAGTGCACATGAAATGTGCCATTTGGGACAATATTTACATTTTCACATTCATAATCCGCCCAGGAAGGATTAAAGCCCTGCACAGGCCTCAAATATAGGCCCTAGCCCGGCCCTGGCCCGAGACGCTTTGGCCCTAGCCCGGCCCTTGTCCGACAGCTTATCAGAATTCTCTGCCCGAGTCCGACTGGAGCCTGTGATGTCTTTTTTTTTTCTCTCCTCCCCATTACACAGCCTACTGATGCAGCCATTAAAATAGTTCTGTTTTGTTTTTAATGGCAAAGACGTTACATTTTTTGTTTGTTAAACAAAAGTTTTTTAAAGTGGCCAGTGGCCGACAGTGCGTTTGCCATGTTTGATCAATTAAGCCTTCTCAAATCAACACTTGACTTGCCTACAATAAAATCCATAGACATGAAACACTTCAAACATATCACAATGTTAGTTTAAATGTTTAACCTAGATAAATGTGCGTTGTTAGGTGCATGTCCAAGTGTTTGCACTGAAAGCGTGCTTAATGCATGGAGGCAGCAGCACGATCACTTTTTTTTTTTTCCTGATAACAGTAGAAACAACTTAAAATACACAATCATTTTTGCTCATATATAAATAAGAGTAATACATCAATTGAAACTGTAAAGTCTACTTTTATTTGTGTACACTCACAATAACAAAAAAACGCTGTGCTTTAGTAAAATAAAGAAAAACGGCTTTCTGCTGTCTCGGTCTCTCGTGCACTGGAGCGCAGCACAAAAATGAACCAAAACTCAGGGTACATAAGCTATATGCCTCACAGATATGAGAAATATATAGAAAGCTCGAAATGTCTATTCTAAAACGAAACAATTCAAATTGAAAAAGGTGCATTTCTCTCTGAAGGCACATCCACTGTACTGTGGAGATGGCTAGTCAGAATCGTCAGCTTCATCTTTGCAGATTCGGACTCAGAAAACACTAGTTTATTAATAAATTATTAAAATATCTTCTTGCTATTTTTCCCAGACACATTCATAGTCATCAATAATTCAACAAGCACGACTAACAATATAAGACTGATCTTAAAAAGGATTTTTTTTTTCAAAAGACAGGGGTTCGCATTGGTATAAATCCAATTACATCATCCAACTTTCTAAATAAAAAAAATTGTAATGAAAATTAAATGGAAACAACCAACCAAAAAATTGTCCTTACCTGAAACTTCCTTTTTTTCCTGGTCAAACTTCCAGTCCAGTCACTAATACGCCTAAATCTGTTCCTGATGGACACTTTCTTTCCATTATTGTCTAGAAAAGCCTTTGGTTTCTGGCTAGGTAGGGTGAAGGAGCAATATTGCATTTCCTCTGGGCCCCCCTCTGACCAGAGTTCCTCCATCACGGACACAAAGGAGGACCTGTGCTTTAAATGGCTATCATTTGAAAACTGCAAATCCTTAACCGTGGGGAAGGTGGCAGCAATTCTGGGATCCTTGTAGAGGTCAGCTGTAGTAATGGCAGGCAACTGCTCAGCGAGAAAACCCACTTTTGTTGAAATACTTTGTCTTTGGCTATTAGGGGATCCATTGTCTGAATCGTGAAGTTCAACACTAGTCCCCCAGGGCAAGTCGTACAAGGAGCCATCTGAGCTCAGAGAGCTACCTTTACTGCTCTTGAAGCTGGCAACTGCCTGTGGAGCTCCAAAATGGGCTTGTAATGATGGTGTTACACCAGATAATCTAGAATTGGACTCTAAGGTGGGGGAAAACTTGAGGAGCTGAACTGGTCCAGCGCAATCATCCAAAATAAGGGCGCTGTTGGAACTGTTGTTGAATTCCACTCGTACACTACCATCTTTCTTTATAACGACTCTGGGGCTGCTCTGATCCTCAATTTCCGCAAGCCTGGGACTTTTCTCTAGCATCTTCATTGTGTTAGCATAATTAGTACAAGGGTTCCTTTTCTCCTTGTGACTACCATACAAGCAGCCATTTTCAGAAGGCAATGTCAAGCAGCCACCAGGCAACAAGTCCTCAGAAACCCCATTCCACTGACTATTGGCACCACTCTTTAGTTTATGGGTGATGTAGTCATATTGGCGGGACATAAAGGTGTGGTTGCCCTTTGATGGGGAGGAGCCACAGCCTATGTTTATGGGCTTCAATCCAGAATATCCTGAACCAGCATTCCAAAAGCCTAGAGGTGATAAAATGTCTTCTTTGGCAGAGTGACCCTTGAAAGAATAAGGTTTGTGTCTACCAGGGATGTTAGAGCTATTGCTTCTAGAGCCCTGGATGCTATACTGGCTCTCAGAGTTTCCCATCCTCGATCTAGAAGAGCAAGAAAATGATTCTGTCAGTGACAAGCAACACTTAACCTATGGAGACAATTTACCATTGATCTCAAAGTAAAAGCTAGGGTAATTCTTTTAAATCAGGGGTCTCCAACCCTGCTCCTTGAAAGCTACAGTCCTGCAGAGTTCAGCTCCAACCCCAATCAAACACATCTGAACCAGCTAATCAAGGTGTTCAGGGTTACTTGATAATTACAGGCAGGTGTGTTGGAGCATGGTTGGAACTGAAGTCTGCAGGAAGGCAGCCCTCCAGGAACAGTTTTAAATATTTCTCTTATGGACTACGACTACTCTGTATTTTGATTCTGATTTAGTTATGAGTTTAGTTGAGAGTCTGCAACAAGTGACTGAGATTTTCCAGTAAAGTACATTGTAAAGCAATCTGTAGGTCACATGGCAGCGATATACAGTGGTGTACAGTCTTACCAAGGCAGTTAGGCCTGTTATGGCCTTGTTGTCTGCATAGTCGCCATTCTGTCCTTCTGTTTCAGTTAAACTGTTTTATGGTTATCTGTGGGACCAAAAACATACTGGTCTTAGAAAGACATGAATCACATGTATTAGTTTTAAAAGGTGAAAACCATTCACAGTACAGCAAAAATATGAACAGATTCCAAAATCTTAGGAAATGCAGTTAACATACTGTAATGTGTTAAAATTTAAAGCATAACTTTGGAAAACCTTTGATTTTAAGACTCCGTGACTTCTGAAAGAGCCACTAGTATCTCCATATCCTCTTGAAACATTTTACTTTTTCTCCTGAGCTGAGTTTTACATTACATCTCGCTCTGTTTTCCAAACAGATTTCACTTCATTCGCTATTTATTTTTGACACACAAATTCCAACAAGATTTTTGGCCTGCACTGCTAAAAAAAGCCTTGAGCTGGATATAAATAAATCTGTGGTCAGAATGTTCTCCCAGTACTATCCACAGGACCACAGTAACCATACTACACATCCTTACAGTTCTCTCCCAGCCTGTAACCCCCAAAAATGAAGATTTGGTTATTTAATCACTTCAATGTCATTCTAAACCTATATAAATGTAATTTGGTGGAACACAAAAAAAGATTAAAGTATGTTGGTAACCAAACATTTCTGGTGACAAAAACAAACAAAAAAAATCTCAAAATATATATATATATATAATTTTTTTAATATTCAACAGAAGAACATCATACAGGTTTACAACAACATAATTTTTGCGTAAACCATCCCTTTAAGAAAACAGTGTTCTACCCATCATTTCCAAGAAAACCTTTAAACAAGCCAAGAGTTGCTGTAACATAGTTAAGAGAGGTTAAATCCTCATTAGCTTTAGCAGGAGAAGAGATCAAGTGAATTCATCAGGTGATTTCCAGAGATCACTGGAGAATTACAGAGAGAGCTGAGGGTAACACACTGCATTTTGAAAGTTTATTTCAAAAGTAACATGTACACTACCATTCAAAAGTTTAGGGTCAGTTAGATTTTTTGTTTGTTTGATTGTTGGCCTTGAAAGAATTTAATACTTTTATTCAGCAAGGATGAATCAAACTGATCAAAACTGATAAATTCTTTTTTTTTTTTCACATTTCACATTCTCTTGAACATCATTTTGAAAAAAAAAAAGTATAAGGTTTCCACAAAAATATGAAGCAGCACTGTTTTCAACTGCAACAATGATAGGAAATGTTTCTTGAGCACTAAATCAGCACATTAGAATGAACTCTGAAGAATCATGTGACATTGAAGACTGGAGTAATGACTGC